CGTTGATGCATTGTTCGATGGTTATTCTTTTAGAAAAATTAATTCAACATTTTGAATCTGTAACACATAAATCATCGCTAGCTCGTTGTGAAAACTTTAAAAACAAGAAAACAAATATTGATATAATGCTTGATAATAGTCGTCGTAAAGCCGATCACGAACAAGATGCAATGTTAAAACTGAATAAAGATGTTATTATCACATTATTTGATGCAGCTCAATATTTGGCTAAACAAGGTTCAGCATTTCGACGTGATCCACATTCAGAAGGTTTGCCGGGTGAGCACGAATGCTTTTCACTAAAAGACTGTATATTGATCCCACAACTGCACTTTAAATCGCGTTGTCTTCTACAATCATTTATATTTTATGTAATTTTGTACAATTAATAAATTTATTACGCCGACCAAATAGTGTTTTAAATGATTGGTTTCTACAAGCTAAATTGATTCCATTTCACGTGCGATATAAGTTGTACTTACATATAGGAACACCCTACCTGAGCCGACGGGCCGGTGTAGAGAAACTAGCTATGTAGTCGTGATCCCCATAGTTTGAAACCTTTGTACATTTAATAGGAATGCCACCTTTTTTCATAAAATTTCGACGGTTGCGATCCTACTGTTTTCCTTCTATATATATTTTCGACCGTTACCAAGAGAAACAATGATCTTCAACTTACCAGCCATTATACTTTCATTTTCTTCATTATTCGATAGTTTGTCATTATTTGTCAGATTTATCTCGTTCACAGCTGTGCTTTCGTCTACTGTTGAGATATCCATGTTTTCAATACGTTTCAATACATTAAACTGTTCATTTAAACATGATATTTCATTCCCTGTCATAATACTGTTTTCTATAAAATCGTAAAAAATATATTTTAGAGTTTGTGAAAAACTGATGTTTCAGACAACCGGATCTTCAAAAGTAACGGGCCCGAATCCTTTTAGGCTTCTTATTAGCTCGATATACTCTATCGATTGAGGTATAACTCATTAGAAACGGAGGGTGTCACCTCGGAAGTCATGCAACAAAAACAGGTGCAGCTTTGTTTTTCTGTCAATAAGAACACAACGTTTTTAACAAAGTTTTAAATCTGATTTCAAGCGTTGAAATTTAGTTTAGGCAAGTTACGATATTTTTTGGATTGTTTTGGACGCAGAGTAGCAGCTGCAATTTTCATCCATGTGACAAAGTGATGACTGTCCACGTTCTTAATCGCACCGGAAAATATCTAACGTTCTTAAATGAAAACCACCTTCTGTACTAACAAGCCCAGTTATAGCTAATTGTTGACCTAAACGCAGTAAAACTCTACTAAATTCCTAACTCTGTACTTATTTAGCAGAAAAACTGACAAACCGACTGGAAACTGACAATTGCAGCTGTTACTCTGCGTCCAAAACAATCCAAAATATATGGTAACTTGCCTGCTTCTCTTTCTTACAGTGTCCTTCATACTTAATATTTCAATAGTATTGTATGCTGATGTACCCAGTGCTACTACACTTGTACCAAGGCTAAGTGCTTCTGTAGCTCTCCTTTCTCTTGAGAAAACATTGCTTGCATCGATGTCATCCCATGCCTGCATAAATCGCTGACTGAAAGATTTTTTCGATGAATTAGTAGTAGCCGACGTTAGAATTTTACTTGCTTGTTGTTCTACCGTGCGTAATAAATTTTGTTTAATGCTTTGGTTCTTATTTTCTGTACATACGTTTAATCGCGAATACAGTTTTGGAGGAAGTAAAAAACATCCAAAGTGGAAGATTGGGATTGTAACAGCAATTCCAATTGTTCCTGTTAATGGCAATATATTGCCGATTTTTTGCAAGATTAATTTTGTTTTTTTATCGATAATAAATGTATCGTTATCGGGGATCGACCATGACGATGTCGAACGAATATTGAAAATGGATAAGAAGAAGATAGATGAGAGAATGTCACACATAATGGAATATCAATACATATTTCGATATTTACTTCAATATGACTAAAAGAAGCTTGCTTAATTTCAAAGAATGTGTTCTGCTTCATCCATTTTTTCCTCTAGCATTCACAGTTTATACAGGGTACTTCGAAGTATATGTGCTGAAATTTTCTCAGTTTACTTACATTATTTGGCTGAAAAAAAATTAAATACTTAAAAAAATGTTGCTAAATTTTTGATCACGGGGCTATTATTTCAAAATTTCCTGTCCATTCTCCATTCATCATAAAATTTGGGTTCTTGCCTAGATCGATAGAGAAATGGATGGAGAATATTTACTACCAGAAAATATGTAAATATGTATGCTACCATCGGGATCACTTATTATTCGATTCACTAATCAATTTAGCGAAAGCTCATCAATATTCAACGAAAAATCAAGGCGAACTTATTTGGCAACGTCAATAATACAATATTAATGCTATGCTGTACCACACCAGGAATGAATAGTTTTTCCAATACCTACTGATTCTCTGCACTTGTAGAACATACTGACGCAGTCCTTTATTGATAATTGAATTCTTATATATTACACTGGAAATAAGGTAAGTGAGTCATTATTTAAGGTGAAGAATTTCAATACAAATAATAAGAGATAAACCACCTTTATGATAATGAAAATAGACTATTTTCTATTAGAGACGTTTCGTCTTTATTCAAAAGACATCTTCAATCAAATGTGACAGACGATAGTCGATACAAAATAAAAGATAAAATGAAAACACAATTATATAGAACGCAACATGTTAAAGCATAAAATAAGTTTTCTTTTTTACAATATATAACGACCGAATCATGTATCGTCAAAATACGTTAAGTTCAAAGCTTTTTTGAGAATAAATTATTCTTTTCTTTTGATCATGTCAATTACTTGTTAGTACAGAAGGTGGTTTTCATTTAAGAACGTTAGATATTTTCCGGTGCGATTAAGAACGTGGACAGTCATCACTTTGTCACATGGATGAAAATTGCAGCTGCTACTCTGCGTCCAAAACAATCCAAAAAATATCGTAACTTGCCTACTTCTCTTTCTTAATGTCATGACGCCATTCTTCTTCTTCTTTTTTTGAAAAATAATACGTGTTGTTATTTTGAACGGGGATCTTTCACGTATCAATTGAACAGTAATCATTTTTATGCTCTTTGTTCTCGTTCCACACATCATTCACATTTATTCATTTTAATTTTAAATGTTTCGTTTACTGGCAGTAACAGTATGTAGAGCGCCATAGTTTTAGAGCCATCTTTCAAGTTTCCAGACAAGATATTCTGAAGCTTGAAAGACGTTGATCAAATTATGGAGCTGAACACAATTCTACTAAACGTTATATATCAACCATTGCGTGTAAACCACGACCTAGATGGTTCAGACCCAAAAGTTCGCCGTTTTCCCATCGCACATGAAAGAGCAAACATTTCTGAGTAACGTGACGTTTGTTGATAAGAGAAATCCTATGAAGTGCAAAAATGGAGAAAAAATAACGTAAAGAAAACCCGTTTTAAGTTTTATCCGCTAACCGTTTGTTGGAGGAAGAAAGCTCAAGCAGCTATAGTACAGACCTTGGAAAGTTCCCCAAGCCCACTGTCTTACCGCATGTCGCGGCGCGAGTCGCTTAAAAAATCGTGGCAGGATCGCGTGACGCGTAAGACTTGCGAAATAAGACGCGAATAAGGCGAAGACATTTAGACTTGATAAACCGTCGTCTTTCAAAAAACTGTGCAAAAAATACTGAATCACTGGTTTTTTAGACTTATTTCTTGTTTTTCATTGTTCCGAAATCGATTTTGGTTTGTTAATATCCTGTAATGCTGAGCAAATTATTTCAAGAAATTAGATGAGCTGAGAGCAAGCAATATAAAATTATATTACCATGACGAAACATTGTTAGTAAAAGGGAAGGAGCGACGAACGATATGGACTGATGAACAAGGTCATAGAAGAATAAGAAACACTGATGCCCGAGGTGAGTGTAGCTTTTTTTGCTAAATAAGTACAGAGTTAGGAATTTAGTATATAATTCCTGCCATATATATTTTTCCATTTCTTCACCTTCTATTATTCTACCGACTCATCTTAGCTAATACTACTATTATCTAATTCTTTCAAATGTCTTCCATTATTACTAAACTTCTGGCCGCGTTAAACGTCAAATACAAAATTTACAACAAACTATTTGCGGACACACTCGTACAAGCGAATTAAAAACAGCAAAGTATGTCAATTAAGACAACCATTCATCTATTTTCTGACTAGATTCATACATCCATTTTTCTCCTCTTTGCACCTACATTTCACAATTTATGTCGCTGGTTATTGTCTATCTGTCTATATATTCTACCACCAATATTTCTTCTATTTGGCTTGATTGGTAATGTGTTCAACATCCTAATATTTACACGAAAAATATTGCGAGTATACTCATGCTCTTGGTATCTTTCTCGCTATATCTGTTTTGAATTTATCGGTCATATTGTTGGCTGAACCTGTAAACATGTTAGCGAATGGTTTTGGCATTGACTATAGACTACAATCAGATCGATTTTGTTCTTTCTACACATATTTTGTTTATGTATGTGTTTACATTCATTCATTCAAACTTTTCAATCTATCCTGGATGAGGATGTTCCTTGTAATGAGGAAATCGATGACAATGCTGATGAGAATACGGATACTGCGCAATCTTCTGCTGATAAGTTTATAAGATAACTAGTGATGAAAACGAGAATGCACTTTGTCATACAGTGTCGAGTTTGTGAAAAACGTTGTGCATTTTCATGATGAAAGCGATAGCGCAGCAAAACGGAAAAGAAGTTGGGAACACCGCTTTAGAAATGTTCCTGATCGTCAGTATAAGGGATGACCCAGAAGCAATGAGCCTTTCAGTGTTTTGCTTATAGCTTGTTTTGGGTTTATTTCCGAGACAAAAGATACGCTATGAGATTCTCTGAACAAAATGTTGAATTACTCCAGCTCGTTCTTCAAGGCAAACTGTCCCTGAAATCTCGTAATACTATCCAAGCGACTCATTTCAAGTGCCATGTGAAAGAACATACTTGAAAATAGCGAGAAATGTGCACCACAGTGATTGGGCACTTTATTAGTCAGAGTGAGAAAAAAAATTAATATTGTGAAACGTGCGTTTGAAAACAGGCCTTTTCAGAACATGCCAATGTTCACCCCATGGAGTTTCACGATTCTATTTTGTAGAAACTCTTTTCACACATTTTTGTAGGGAATTGAATGGGGAATCTTTTAAAAAAAGGCGAGGTCTGAACGATAAAAACTGCATGAGATATTCACGAAATACTGAGACCGCCATTCTTTATGGGCCACCCGGTATTAAATATATTTAACTATATAAGTATAAGCTTTCAGGTTTGATAAACCTTGAAACTTCATCCCGTTTAGATCAATGACTCATACTGGAAGTCCGTGCATTCTCTCTAGTGCACACATACACGTTTTTAATTATTTTATTGGCACGCACAAAATAATCGGAGTTTAGATGAAACCGATGGGTCAATATTTGCACACCTTACTCAAGTCATTCGAACGAATGAGTAACTTTTATTATCAGAAAAATTCAACATACTTTTCACGGAAAAACCAACGAGAAAAGAAAAGATAAATGTATAATAGCGTTTTGAAATATAATATAATGTTATATGATAAAGAAAAATGCTTATAGATTTAAATGTGTTGTTGATCTTTAACGTACAAAAAGTTAAATTTGTCAAAAAATGTATCGTAGAGAACTTTGTATATATATATATATATATATATATATATGAAATGTACCGCTGTATAAAAAGAAGTGGAACTGCAAAATGTCTTTATCGGTTTCCTAAATGCAAAAGCTGTCGAAATACTATCATTATTTCTTTCATATACTTTAGATTATTCCAGTATGAATGATCGATCCAAACTGGATGAAGTTCCATGGTTTATAAAACCTGAAAGCTTATATTTATATAATAATGTAATATTATTAGATACTAGAAATCCAAAATCTTATGAAACATCTCATATTCGTAATTCTGTTAATGTTCATGATATATTCACATATTTATTAAAATCATCTGAACCGAAAGATATTGAAAATATGAGAAATCATTTTCAACAGCGACTTAGTGAAGTAGGGATAACCGGTGATTTGAATGAACATGTTGTTCTTTATGAGCAAGGTATGAATAAAAATTATGGGTCAAGCTGTCGTGGATTTTTTCTACTAAAATGGATGCATCATCCAAATGTTTCTGTACTACAAGGAGGGTTAGATGCTTTTTTACAAACAGATGTTGGTAAAATGCAAATGACAAATGAACTGCCAACAATAAAGCAATGCGTGTATAATGGTCAAGATGATACAAATGACTGGTTGATGGCACATAAAAATGATATTTTAGACGTATTGAATAATAAGCGGAAAGCACACTTATTAGACGTTAGAGATGCTGCTGAATGGCAAGGTTTAACTAGTTCACCTTATGGAATTGACTTTTCTCCAAGAAAAGGACGAATATTAAATTCAATATGGATCGAATGGTATATAAAAAACATATTTTTTACGCATTTTAGTTATGTTTTTCGTAAATTTGTTATATACCGAGCGTATCTTTTGTTATTTTAACACCTGACTCCGTAATGTTTTTAGGAAATAATCAATCTTTTATCTAAACTCTGACGTCCGACTGATTAGTATTAGGTATGCACGAGTTAAAAACTGGTGTTGCGGCATCCAGGAGAATTGCTATACATCAATTATCATGATTCGCTCAGAGCTGTGAAACATCTCATTTTGTAGAAAAATGTTTGTTCTACAAAATGCATTTGTAAAAAGATTCGAAAATTATGTCTAAGAGAACTTAGAGCATTCCAAAATGCAGTTAATCACAGTAAAAAACTGTTTTTGACAACTAGAGTTTTTCACTAATGTTGGGACATCTAGAAACTCAGAGCATTCTAAAATGCACCAAATCACGAAAAAAACCTGTTTGAACAGGTTTTTCTCTGTGATTTAATGTATTTTCGAATGCTCTTAGTTTTGTCAGAAATACGTTTGACAACCTTTTAACAAATGTATTTTGTTGAGCAATATTTTTCTACAAAATAAGACGTTTCGCAGCTATTAGCAAATCTTGATAACCGATGCATGGCAGGTTTTCTAGATGCCCCAACATTAGTGAAAAACTCTAGTTGTCAAAAACAGTTTTTTACTGTGATTAACTGCATTTTGGAATGCTCTAAGTTCTCTTAGAAATAACTTTGGAATCTTTTTACCAATGCATTTTGTAGAACAAACATTTTTCTACAAAATGAGATGTTTCACAGCTCTGAGCGAATCGTGATAACTGATGTATAGCAATTCTCCCGGACGCCGCAACATCAATTTTTAACTGGTGCATACCTAATTAGTATCCATGAACAAAAGGAACGAAAGGATGTTTAGCTAACGTGGGTCTTGAGCTAAATTTCGGTTGCTTATGTTTCACGTCGACTATAGCTTGTATGAAAAGTTAATTTTGGGAATGAGGAAATCTAAGCTTATGAACAATGTTTTAAAACTATAAACTCATAAAATGGAAACCGTAAATTTTCAATGTAAGAAAATTGAAAATTTATTGTTACTATTTTTTGAGTTATAGTTTTAAAACTCATACAAATAGTCATTTTAGTTAGCCTTTAAAAAGAAGTTCTTCATAGTCTGGTTGAACCCAATGATGATTCATTTTCAACAACCGTCTAACGAAAAACGATATATATTTAGATCTCATGACAAAATATTCATCATTCACTCCCATGCATTACAAAGTATCAACCATTAGTAACTTAATGTATCAAACTATGTTCATCACACAAGTTCCTTCACAATAAATTTGAATTTATCAAAAAATTCACGGTCGAACGATTACCCAGATGGATGTATAAATGGATAAATGTCTGAAACTCTAAAATGGATTAAATGAACAGCAAGAAAAAATGGTACATTCACAACGGAAAGATAATAAACTAAAAGTAAAAGGAGATCAACTAATATTAACCAACCATACACAGAACGAGCAACAAAAATAGTCAACAAAGATTCAGGGAGAATTAGCCAGTCAAGTACGCTTGATTACTGATTTATTAATTGTACCAAGAGAACAGTCCACAGTTACACAACCGTGGACAGCCCTACTGTCTCCACCGGAAGAAAAGTAACTCAAATAATGTGATAATAACATCTTTATTCAGTTTTAACATTGCATCTTGTTCGTGATCGGCTTTACGACGACTATTATCAAGTATTATATCAATATTTGTTTTCTTGTTTTTAAAGTTTTCACAACGAGCTAGCGATGATTTATGTGTTACAGATTCAAAATGTTGAATTAATTTTTCTAAAAGAATAACCATCGAACAATGCATCAACG